CCCCCCCCCCCCCCCCCCCGGTCTGTGGAAAAATTGTCTTCCATGAAACCAGTCCCTGGTGCCAAAAAGGTTGGGGATCGCTGTTTTAAAAGACATGCCGGTTATTTTCAACAAACTTTTCTATTTTCTGCTATGGTTGTTCTGGCCTTTGAAAAATTAAAATTAATTTAAAATAGAGGGAAGCAAAAGCTGCCACTGAGGTTTCATCCCCTGGAAACTTGAGGAGTTCTGTGACTTCGTTAGGTCATAAATAGATGCAACCTGTTGTTAGCCTGTTCCTAGCAAGCCCATTCAGACTTCAGTGCGTTCTCTTTAAGACAGGATGGCTTCCTGAACCTCAGGACATAGAAGGGAAAGCCCTCTTCTGTTTTTATGAGAGGTTATCTTTGACTTAGCTTTCTTCCAACACATTTGTGGGTCACTCTGAGATTTCTTAGAGGAGTTTTGGATCTGGATGGCAAGGAAACAGAGGAAGAGCTCTGGCAATCTGGATTCAGAAGAGGAATCCTGGGATCTTTTATGCACTTTTTAATCTCTACACCTGGATTTGTCCCAGGAAAGTGCTTGGACCTTTTTAAAAATCTTTTTCTCTGCTTTCTACAGATAGAAGGGGACTCAGGTTTAGCAGGCTGTTGCCCTTTTCAATTCTCCAGAAGGAGCTGTCACTCCCATACTGGAAAATGCCCTCAAGTGAAGAAAACAACACAATTCCAGCCTAGTTGGAAGTTGGGCAGTGGGTTCCAATCATGCAAAGAACCCTCCCCTCCATGCTTAAGATACACCTTCAACAGCAATTCACAACCGTTTCACTCAGGCAGTCTCAGGCTGTTCTGTAGTTCACAGAAGTGCAGTTTCTTGCTCTGCATTTGAAGAAATTGCTTCCAGTTTTTTGTTTTGCACTGTAACCTCCCTCCCAGCTTCTGCTAGTTCTGTGGAGAACCAGTGGACTATACCTATTCCTCTTGGGGAATGGTTTGCATTGCCAGGAAGTGGCAGTGTGAGTCTCTGGCAAACCTAGGATTTTCAGAGATCAGATGCTACCCTCAAACTCAAGGGGTGTCCCACAGGTTCAGGCTTCTACCATCTGTTTCAGTTGAGAGCTATCCTTCTCCTTGATTGCTGGATTTGGGTAAAGCAGGGTATCTCTCTCCCTTCCTTATTTTAAAGTAAGTTGTAGTTATGGGAAAACCTGATATTAGACTTAGACAGTAATGGAGTGCTGAACCGATCACAATATAGAAATTATTTTGATTTCACATAAAACGTTGGAATTTATCATAAATACTGCTTGGGGAATGTTTCTACACCCAAAAATAGATCGAAAGAACACATTGATCACAAAGAATGAACATGCACTCTAATACAATTGCTTAATCACAATAATATTCTAGGGCTATTGCTCTTGTTCTCCATTCTCTACAAGAATCACTACTAGTCATTATAGACCATCTTATAGATGAAACAATGTTCTGTTTTACTTGTTTAACATAAAACATTTCTACTAATTCAAATGACAGTGTGATTTGCAACAAATGACTCTAGGATTATCCCATTCCCTGAAAGTACAAAAATCCTTTACACCTCTATTTAGCTATACATTTTATTGAGAGAGTCACTCATGCTCTTTCCACCCAACTTACCTCAACAGGATGCTATGAAGATCAAGCTGATGTCTATGTTTGTGTAAGAGAAAGCAATAAAATATGAACAGTACATGGCCTTAAACTCTTTAGATTAAGAACAGATTAACAATGAGCAATTCAGTTCTGCAGGAGCTACTACTGAACACCGAGAATCAAAGAAAGGATGGCCAGTGTGTGCACCCTCCCCAAACCATCTCGAGATACTCAAGGTAAGAATAAGAGGGAATCAAATTCACACAACAACCAACAGAAAAGAAGGACAAATCTCTATGGTACTACTCACCAATGTGACCCTCCTTTGTGGTTTCAGAAGTTTAGGCTTTGAGAAAGTATTGGATATTGGTGCTGTAAAAATAAGAACAGATTGACCAGGAATGTTTTCCTCTTGCTATGAAATGAATATAAGTAACAGTGAAATGCACAAAAAAGACTATTTGCTACTCATTCAGCATCCCTGTAGACTGCCAATATGCCAATCTGTGTGCCTTCCAGTGGATTTTGCATCTCCTGCAACGCCTCCAGACCTCGCATGCTTCCTTGGTAGCCTAGGACTTCTTTTTCCCATACAGTGTAGTGTTTTTTGTGAATTCTCAGGAATATGTACTCAGTTGTGTGAAGTGAAATGGCCATCTCCTAAGCAGCTGTGGATTGTAAAAGGATGTCCTCAAAGCTGCTGATGGTCCATTGAGGGCATTCAAGTGACTGCTCCCTACTAGACGCTGCTGCTCAGACTTTAGAGTGAATGAAAGGCGGACAGTCTCTAAGTGGTCTCACTATGCCGGCAAACAGAAGGAGGTAAGAGGAGTTTGGTAGAGGAGTTCAGTCGTAAGACTCCAATCCATTTTTGCCTCTACATGGATAGTACAAAGAAGAGAAATGGGAAGGTAGTGACACTGCACTTCTGACCTACAAGGCTTGTACTTTTTTTGTATTCTTGACCAAAGACAACAAAAGTACAATGTAGTCAACACAAGCTCATTGAATACTGTGATTTTTAAGGAAAAAGAAAGGGCAGCAAATGACCACAATTCTGCTCATAGTAGAGACAAGTATGCCTTGAAACAAATAACAAAAGTACAACAGCAATAGTTATTTAATTATTTTTAGAATTTTTATCCTGCCTTTATTATTTTTATATGACTTGAGGTGGTGAACATACCTAGTGCTCCTTCCTCCTCCTATTTTCCCTACAACAACCTTGTGAGTTGAGTTGGGTTGAGAGAGAGGGACTGGCCTAAAGTCACTCAGCCGGCTTTCATGCCTAAGGCGGGACTAGAACTCACCATCTTCTGGTTTCTAGCCTGGTTCCTTCACCACTAGGCCAAACTGGCTCTTTCTTACTACTACCAAATCCCTAGAAAAGGAGACAGCATAGCAACAGTTGACAGAGGCCTATGAAGAACCAGTAGAGGCACCAAGCTGAGATTAGACCCAGCAGTGCTCCAGTGAATGCCTGAGACAGAAATCCTACAAGGTTAAGACTCCTACTATATCTTAGGCAATCAGCCACAACGGGCCCCAAGGGAGATGCCCATGATGCAACACTTCAGCCTGAACCTGGCAGCTTCTCAGTGTTGCCAGCAACTATTGGCTAATGTGACTGATTGTGAACTACCGACTAATGCTCAGCTGCTTGTGACTGATCTTTATTCAGCCCCTTAGTGCTTTTTTTCTGCATTTGTAACCTAGGTTTGCTTTCTGGACCTTGCTATGCCTACCCTTTGAATCAGATGACTTTCTGGCTATCAACTTTCTTTTCAGTTTGGACTCTCACTTACTATTCCCCTTCTGCTCTTAGCATGCACATAGTTACTTACCGTGGCCAGAAATAAGACAGGACAGCAGCTTATACTTTACCACAAGGAAGGTATTTTTTTTTAAAGAGCAAGTCCAGTAGTTGAAAGCAAAAAACAGAAACAAAAGGTGCAGAAGATATTCTACACACTGGAGCTCCGGAACAATTTTTAGGCTTTCTCAGAAGGAACAGACTCTTAAGTACACAGGGAAGAATAACAAGAGGTAAGAGGGTGAATTGCTCCCTGCAAAAAGACAAAGAGAAGCATTGTAATAGATGGTGACTCTTCCTAGCGGGAAGAAAAATGAGTATGTGCCAGCTAGACCTGCTGGTTCATAAAGCGTGCTCTCCTTAGAGTGCGGATCAGGAACCCGATGGAGTAAGTTCATTGAAACGTTTCTGATCCTTCTCTTCCATGTAGAGGCAAATGATACTATCAAGGGGAGCCATAATTATATCACCTTAGACCCTGAAAACCTAAAAAGCAGAGAACCCAAGGGACTCAGACCATGATTCATTGAAAGTGAACTAGCTACCAAAATAGTGTTATTATGAGATATTTGGTTTCTGGGATCATGGTCTACATTTTCTACAAGATGGACTGCTAGCATAGGAGTATAGTCTATTAAAATAAATATAAAATAAGGAAGAACATTATGGCCTTTGTGGTCTTCATGTGTAATGGAAATCAACAAAATTAGATTCACTTCCTAGCAGAGGTAGGCAAATATGATTAACATATCTAACAGAGACAAGGAGGGATGATTCCATGATTGTCCACCAGTTCATGGGATATAACTTGTTCAAAAGGAACAGCAGCAACAGAAAGAGTTGCAATGTATTTTATTTATTTTATTTTTTTATGTTTTTTTTT